TGTAGTGACCATGTACACTGAGTCTTTTGATAGTGCAGAGCCCATAGTTGATAAGGGAGAGAGAGGTCAAGGCTATATCATTTATAAGCACTTTTTCCTGACCTTCTGATTGACACAGCACTGATAGATGCATAATCTGAGTCAGCAAGCTCTTTGTTGCTGAAAAATCTCACTCCTGGGATCCCATAGTATTTCTGACCCACCACTATGCAAGAATCATTCAAGCTTGATGCAATGAGCCATGCTCCAAAGAAAAAGGTTCCACTCCCATGAGTGGGTCCTTGATTTATGGCTAATTAAGTTGCCCTGCTGTACAGTCTAGCAGATGCATAATTCTGAAATCCATTGTTCACATGCCATTGGTTGACCAGTGGATGATTTGGCCCGATGTAGGCTAAAAAAAAAATACAGTTCGATTCTGTGTGTAGCAGCTATTAATGATTCGTTTCTAAGTTGATATTATCCTTTTTAATATGAATGTCCTTTTTAAAAAAAAGTTCTTCAAAGGGCCAAGGGGTGGGATTACTCAGTGACAAACATACTAAGTTTCAAAGCAGTTAGGGTTATCACAAGTGCAAGGGGGAGTGTCTGCTCATGAGTAGCTCTACCATCAAAATCCCACCTTATCCAAAGCTTACTGCCACAACATAATGAATCTGTGCAGTTCCAACTGGATCACTTAAATTGCTTTGACCTTGTGTTATTACAAGGCTACTGACAAAAGCAAAGGAGAACTCTTGTGTCAAATCAAATACATAGGCCATCATAGAAGTACTATAAGGACCAAAATGTGAGTATATTTCCACAGTCATTGAGTGCCTCTTTTATGAACAAATGAAACAAAGAGGACCTGCAGATAATGACAGAGTGGGAAACTAACTTGTCAGATATCTTGAGGTTATAGTGATACCAAGATAATATACTACCATGGCTCTTTATTCTTTATATAATAATAACAGCTCTGCAGGTCCCAAATATATAGTACTTAGACTGAGCATCACAATCTCCCCACAGAAGAATTTGCAGTCCAAATTTCCCAAGCATCCAGCATAGAACTCAAAATTGTGTTCTTGATACCAATACACCAATCCCAGTGGTGCATCCAGTTACCCAGATTATACTCAACATTCCCAAGAGAGACATCATGCCCACATCCCAAACACACCACCTTGTCTCATTTGACCCTGTCTGCATTAACCCAAGGCTCACACCTGAGGAAAAGTCTTGGTCATGTAGCTTCCCTGTCGAGCTTATCCCACTTGTAAATCTTTTTCCTGAAAGTAAAGACAGGATCCCTGGAATAGATGCACCTGCCCATGAAATAACAAGAATGGAAGCCTGCCTTTGGAATGAATCAGCAGTCAATCTGGTTCAAAGAGCAAAAGCAGCTCACCAGATTTCATTAGTTTTCAGCTCTTAGCTCAGACATGCCTGTAGTCAGGGCCATTCATGATATTTCATAGTAGAGTCATCATGGTTGAAAGTCAAGATGATAGTAATGGTTGCTGTATACTCCTGTTTGCCTGATCACCACAAGAATTCTGAATCTCAGGCTGCCCACTATGAAATTCTTGCCAATGCCATCACAAGTTCTCTGGTTTCCCAAGCTCAGAAACTTTTATTTTATGATCCACCAGGATCAGAAACCACCAATCCCTGGGCCCTGTTCCTCTTTTCACCTTTCATTAATCCTGTGGATATCCCTTTCTATGTTTTCTCCTTGACTCCACCCAAACAACAACATCAGTCTGATAATTTTTCTGCTTTATCCTCCTCTCAGATAGCCAAAAACCAAGTTCTGTACTCAATGCTTTATCTATCTGTACTAAACTAGATTGTGCTCTATGTTATATGTCATGAAGACATCCATACTTGGGGCCAAGAGGACTCTATTGTTCCACACAAAAATCCATAACCCATCAAGATGGAATCTTTTGCAGACTATACCAACCAGTGAGTGTATTGAAGAAACTCTGTGCTGACAATCTCAACTTCAAAGGGCAGATCTTTGTCCCCTATGGTGTGCTGCACTCTCACTAGCTTGGTGATCATTGATAGGTATAAAAATGCCTTACTATGGCATAGATCCATCTTGTACTCCTCCACCTGACCACACAAACATCATCTGCTCCTGTTCCCAATCCAAATACCCATCTTACTGATCTTGAAAGTGCCTGTGGTTTGCACAATAAATAAATCATGACTAGGGCCAGAGTCATCACATTCAAGTACAGGCATCATTCTAGGCCAGATATGAAGAGATCTGCTTTTCACATTTGATGAAATGTGAAATGGAGTGACAGCCAATGATGTTGAAATGTAGAGCACTAAATGAAATGATGCAAAATCCTAAGTTTCTGCAGCTACACTTCTCCCTTGAAGCTTGAAGCTTGAATGTGCTCCAACATCCTTCCAGTCTTGGCTCTCCTCCTCTCCACTTTTGCCTTAGCCTCTGCCTCCACCAGAAAAACACTTTGTGTGCTTGGCAAGACCTATTGTGGTTGGGAGGACCTCTGTATCAGCCATAATGGATGCAAATCCTGCAGCCCAACAGGCAAAACATGGGATAATGGGTTCACAGAATTCATGTGCAGTATGTGTGCTGTTTCCAAGTGTCTGTGTTCAGAAAAGCTGAATCCAAGTGCTCTAGAGCAATGCTAATCTCCCATACACTTGGCTATTCATTTGAAAGCTTAACCATGTGTTATCAATATCAGTTACCCCTTGATAGTCACCAGCACCTAAAAAAGTAAAATTATTTTCTACAATTGTCTGTCTTCTTTCTTTTTCTGCCATAAAGTAAGAAAATGGTTCTGAAAACCTGTACACTAGTCTTACATAGCCACTCCAATCTCATATATAAATGATTGTACTAGCCATGAAATGACTACTCTTGACTTATCAATTTTCATTCTGTGAATCTGAGACTCACACTTAGCACTTTCTGACTCTGATCCTCCCCAGATAATTACTAGACCGATCTGAATACATTTGACTTACTTCACATCTCAACTACCTTCCTTGGTAAACATACTCACCTCTACTATGACTACTAGGCTACATACACTTTACCATGCTAACTCTCATATTCATAACACCATGCATAAAAATTCAATAAGAAATCTTAAATAAATCCTCTTTGTATTCCAGAGTCATATGACACCAAATTGCATCAGAATTTACATTTTGTGACACCACTGTTCCACAAAATAATCCCCATGGATACCATACAGAATACAAGCAGAAATGCTGCTGCAGAGAACAAAAAAAAAAAAAACCATGACAAGTCCTATTCACAGCCACAACCATACTATCTGAGAATAACTCCCAAAAAGACCCAACAAACATCCCCACAACCTGTTCCTCAGTGTCCTCCAGTAAGAATGAAAAAAACACATACAATGCTCATTACCCAGGAATGACTGCTTCCAGTGTGACAAACAGCTGGCTAAGCATTATGCCAATAACAGTCCCAAGGTCATCAGTCCTTGTGTGGTAGCATTAATATCCTACTATGGTTTGTTAGCCATGACAATGAGTGCATGGGTGTGTATACCAGCAGGGAGCACAGCATTATCACTGCCTGAAAATTGCTTTACTCTGGGTGAAAGTGACCATAATGTTTGTCCCCTAAATATTGGTCTCTTCTCCCTCTGCCTGTGAGTCATTGACAAAATATATGAGGATGAGGGAAAGGGCCTACCAAAAAAAAAAAAGTCTACAAATCCAATAGCAGGACTTACTTGGTTGTATGGGTGCAAATTACAGGTTGATTTCAAACTCCCCTCTCCCCCAGGGATGATTATCCAGGTCCCTCCATAATCTATTCAAGGGAACACCAGCTATACCTAGATGTGTCACATTGCTTTTGGTCACTACTGCTGAAGAGCAGCCCATTCTTTTTTCCACAAAGGACTGACTCCTGGAATATTCAGTTATTCTCTGACAAGAACACTGCATGCATTAACAGAGATCACCTGACTGCCCTATTCCATTCTATGTATCTTCCTTTATGGATTCTGCTGTAGGCCATATCCTCTCAGTATATGACTGACCATTGGTTTCAAGGTCTATCTTACAATCGAATTACTGGGAAATGGCATCACTGCGATCACAATCATCATTAAACTGCCTCACCTTAGTAAAAGAGCAACGTCTCTGCCAGAGCAGTTGGTATACAGTGTGTTGAGATCTTATATGACCTAGTCGATGCTAAACTTCACTGCACAGGCTGCAGATAACTCTTACAATAGTCCTCTGTGGACTTTGCTCGATTCGCCTTGAGCTCAGCTATGCTCAGGACTTCAGACAGCGGATATATGCAGATCAGGCTGCCTCTATTCACAACCCAGAACATTTTCCCGCTAACAAAAGGATCCAGTTGGCTGCTGTCGAGCTTCAGTTCTCTGAGGTCAGCCCCCTATTAAGATAACCAAAACAGACAGTGTATTCATGTATGCATACATCTTTTAGCCTTCTCACTGTTGTGTATAGATACTTTGAGACTGGAAAAGATGTTGAACGATGATGACCAAGTTCTAGCGTGGTTTCTGTAGTCTCTCATAGCAAATTGACATATTTTTATCATGAAATCTCCCAGCCTTCCATTCTCTTCGCCTCCTGTACAACCTTGGGGTCATGAAGACCACATGCCCATCTCATGTGGATACCAATTTCGTTTAACCATCCCGAGATGATCATGAGCCGCAACCATAGCAGCATCAGGCTAACCTCCTGATGCGCTGCTGTACCACAATTGTTTGTCCAAAGCTCATCTTCAAAAGGTCTTTTGAGTAGTTGAGATGTCCATATGATGTTGATGCATGTAGGGACGTGGTATATTGTCACTTGGAGCATATTCCTTGGACCCAAACAAGCACTGGATTGGGTTTTTTTTGGCAAGCCGAGGTTTTTAGTAAGGTGATTGAAATTTCAATCAATACTGCATCCCCACAGGGGGTTACATTCATACGCATCAATCCCTATATGAACGGCCCAAATCACGAGGTGTCAATGTGGCGTGCAGTTAGGGACTGAAACCATCGATGATCAACTTGATATCGATCACTCAAAATGAATACGCACCCATTCATCATTGAGGGAGCGAAGCAGCTGCAAGGTTGAAGCACGAAGACGTAGCTGGTACAATGTGTCAAGATCTTTCAGTACCACCATAGTTTTTGCATCTCTTTTTGCAAAAGCCCTGGCTTTCGTCTCTGCAAAGACTTCCATGGAGTTGATATCTCCTGTCATTCCATATTCATTTGCCAGCTGTGCCTCTAGCCGTTCAAGGGGGAGAATGTTTCTTGCCAGTTCTTCAACTTCATCTGTAGGAACTGGCTAGATGGAAATTAATAATAATCAAAGGCCCGAGATGAAGAATCAGTATGCACGCACCTCAGTTCTATGTTCAATTGACGGATATTGTGTTGCAATCTGTTGGCTTTGATGAACCTAGAGAATAAGTTGTTAATGGTGCACATAGGAGAGGAAAAAGATAATCTGTTATGGTATGTACACTATACAGAATTTCACCCAGTTTATTCTTGACTGCAAAGTAAATTGCTTTCAGTAGAGTTAACAGCTGCATAATTGACAAATTGGTTCAAATGATTGAGTTCCCATTACCACCAAGGCTTATAAACGACAGCACTGTAGTCTTGGTGGGAATTGTGATGGCCATGCTTGTGCTGCTAGTTATGTTTATGAGTCAAAGTCTCTTCACCTAGTGAAACGGTGTCAGTGAATGTTGGAGAATAACAACGAGGTAGTTTGATCTGTCTCTGTGTTAAGTATGTGTAAGTTAACCGCTAGTAAACAGCTCTACTCCGGCTCCAAAGCCATGTGTCAATACAACTTTGGTGGAAACTGCTGTAATGCTGTACTGAATAGATGTGCTCGAAGTATATATGAACACTTCTACACTGATATGAGGGCACATAAGAGGCTTCAAGTGCTTTGATTCATTAAAATTATTATTAGACTAGTATCCTATACAGAGCTTGTGGTCATCTGTATGGACTACTGTGCATGGCGATGGTGTTGTAAATGTAAAGAATCCTACTGAAAAGAGGTCTTCAACCCAACAACAGAGCACAATCAGCATATTTTAACTAGCCAGAGTGTGAAGAGTGAAAGACATGACAGTGAGGTAAAAATCAACAGTTAATAAGTGAAAGGGCCGCAAATGATACATATGCAGTTATTAGAAGCTTTATATATTCGGTCTTTAAAGAATCCATTGCACAGCGGTGTACAGGCATAGCCTCAGGTCAGTTGTGATATCGCACAGCTGTGGACACATGCATAGAATGCTCTATTATGAGAAAATGATAAGTCCCGAATGCTATCCATAATTATTTCATTACCATTGTGAATCGAACTAGTGGAGGGCAGGGCGTCGTTGTATCTAATCAAGTTCAGGTAATACCCCTTCGGCCGGCAGATTTGAGCTGTAAACCATTTATGTTGCTCTTTACAGTTTTCGTTGATTGATACATGCCCTCTTCATGGCATGTCGGATGTCTGTGACAAACACGGCCTGAAGCTCTTAACATATGGAACCGTGGTGAGCATCTTCTTGATCTCTGTTTCGTTGTCGTGATAGCTTTGTTAAATTCAGTGTGGCGGTTTCCTCGCCGACAAGTGGCTTAATCAGCCAGAGCCAGATTCTTACGCTGGCAATCTTACGCCCTCTCAACGAAAGGTACCATCTTTTTTCGCGCTTCTACCCACAGGCTCACCCCGTCCATTGAAATATAGTACCTCGACATGATTGTGAAGGCATGGGGTGACTGGTCGCTATTCCAGTCGCTTCTCTCAGTACTGCGTATCATCGGTGATCGCCATGGAGGTGTCAGTATCACCAATGTGGCCACTCGCTGGGTATTAGATTATCAGTTTGTTGGAGCTGTGATCATCGGTAACTGATGTTCTTCCGATTACCCTTTCATCCGCTCTCAGGTCCAACTTCCAGGGGCGCGTTTGGGTCTTTCCGAACATTCTGTGGACAACAGCCGTGTCTTCGAATTCAATTTGACTGAAGAGGATCGCACGGCCATCGATGTCGTCTTGGAGCGTTCAAATGGCCGTCGGATGATTACTACAATTGGTGACTGCGGGGCTGAATATTGTTAAGATAGATATTCTCTTGTCGCTCTGATTTTTTTAATAGAACGATTGATACTTGATATCGGATTTACCTTAACGTCTTCTTTGACCTGTGAAAATCGTTGCCCTGAGGACTCCCCTATGCGGAGCATTTATATATTGCTCGTCATATGGTATTCATTTTTAAAGGCCGCGAATGACTTATCAGGTACGAAACTGCATGGGAATCTATAACGAAAGATCAGAACTCCCACATATCCTGAAACGTTTCGGGATTTGATTGAACTCCACGTCCTCCAGATGTATAAGAGCCGAACCCAGTCTAGCTATTTCAACCCTATATAAAGGCCTGTGGTTTAGAACCCCCGTGCCCCTTTCACCCACAGATGTTATGTGTAACCACTTCCTTCGACTCGTTTTAAAGAATATTTTTGATGCGATTCTGAAGCAGATATTTAATGGATACTGTACACACCTGATGCGCAAACTGATTTTGCTAGACAACAAAGATCGGATTATCGGCTCTCTATATGAACCTCGCAATTCCCTGAATATATACTTCCTGTCCGATAGAGGTCACTATTAACCAAACTAGGAATCATTCTCCTAGACCTGCCGATTTCAATTTCTAATTCGAAGCTGTATTCTTTTAAATGTGTTCCGATCTCAAGTTCATGATATCTTCAGAAGGTTTCTATTTTATGACAAAATCGAGCCTGTCAGGTAAGATGTCCGATGATTATCCGACAGGCGTCGTTGCAGAAAAAGGCGGTGATGGCCAAAGCGGGCCATCAAATTTCGGAAATAGCACTGAACTTCATCCCCGACGTGCGTACCTAAGGCTACAGCATCACTATGCATGACAAACCGCTATGATGTAGTATTCTTCCGCTGATTTTCAGCATCTATGTTATCTTTTGCTGTGATTACTACTGCATCGATGCATATAAACAGCTTCAGAATTGCCATTCACGCATCGAAGTCTGGAAAACATTGCACCATGCGTCTACGGCCCTTTTTTTCCCCTTTACTCGGCTGCGCAGCCCCTTCTTGCTGGATATTGGCAATTGTATATGGTATCGAGTTTGCCCAAACATTGGATGTGCGGGATTCAAAGAGCTCATTTCAATGTTCCAGAGATTGTGTTCTTGACTCATTGATCGGACCCTCATAGACTGCTTCTTGCTTCTTCTCTCATGGACCCGGCATTTTCTTCGCAAAGTTTTCTATCGCATCTCACCAGCTATTTTTGTGAAAGAGGGAGAACAACGAGTGCTTTCTCCAAGTTATTCCAGAGAATTGGTTCCCGATGTCCCATTTGAATTCTGTGATCTCGAACGGTGAAGGTATTGACGAAGTGAGTCTCCCGATCGCCGTGATGCTCATTCTTACTCGGTTGTATGTTCAGCTTTTCTCAAACTCCACTGTTCAGCCAAATATAAAGATAGACGCAGTGAAAGCATTACCGGTATCTAATTTGTCTAGAAAGAAAGCAGAAGTCCATTTGTATAAGAAGGAATGCATTGTAAGTTTCAGTCTCGACTCATTCGCTCTCTAATATTGTGTGCAAGAAAATATGGAATAGAGAGAAGAAGAGGCTTGGGTATCGACCATGGAATGGTAACGAAACTTGGGACAAATACTCGTACGAAGCCTTGGTCCCTCTCAAAGAGGCATTGTTGAAGGAGAACGACCAAATTATTTACGCGGCGAGAGCTATGACCAATGGTGAATTCAAACAACTATTGTATCTGGAGTACCCATGGGTACAGGCCTTAGAAAAAAGTGTGAAACCACATAGTCGAACGAATAGGCCTGTAGATATCAGTGATTGGTCTCTCAAGGCTCCGACGTTCGACGAAGCAGTACGTCATCCGTACATTTACGTTTTATTGCTAAGCATGTCCTACAATGTTAGAAATGCCAGATAGCAGGAATCCGCTGCGAAGCAAAAGCGATTGGGGTGCCGATTAACTCCCCAGAAGGACGCAAAAGGTACAAGGGACTTCGCTGCAAATACTGCATCGCTTCTCGATCTAGGGATTGTGATGCAGGAATGCAATGTTGGAATAACTCCTCGTCGAGACGAGTGCCACACACACATTCCACCAAATGGAAACGTGAGAAGGAAGAGAAAGCAGGAGAGGAAGAGACACGTACCAACCAAAGAATGCGTGGTCCTAAATTTCTCCGTGACGATGATTCTGGCGAACTACCACTTTCCGCTTCACAAGAGAGTACTTTGACAATACATAATAGAATCCCAGCCTCTGTCTCCATAATCGACCAATTACTGGATGATATCAAAGGAGGTTACCATTCTCTTGCCGAGGAGATGCAAGCCGAACGTACAAGGCTCGCTGCAGAGGTCGAATCAATGAAAAGACAACTGTCGGATTCGAATGATGAAATGAAGACGATCAAACGAGAGCTTGCGGAAAGCAGGAGATCGGAAGTAGAGGCTAGAGAGGACTGTCGAATAATGGAGGAGAGACTTTCGATGATGAAAAAAATGGCTGATAAAGCGGAAACGGCGCTTGCGAGTTAGAGGACCCCATGAAAGAGCTGTTTGCGACAGCGGGGGGACTGTGATATTCTATGGTAGCGACAGAATGCTGTGAAAGTAATCCTAACCAAGTGTCAATGGCAGAAATGATGACGTCTGATTACGAAGAGACTGTAACACACGACAGATAAATTAAGCCCATCGCAGCGATCTATTTGCCGGTCCTCCGGAGTTTCCACAGTGACTTTATTGGTCCAGCTGAAGATGCCTCATCTATATCTCCCTCAGCGAGTGAACTCGACATCACTACAGGTTCCGGATCCTCTGAACAGCCTCGGGCCAGGAAACGGTCAAGTGGATGGTTCCAGAAACTTTTGCAATCTTTATCCCGGATATCAGGGAAATTTCGCGCAGGTACGAATGTTTTCCGGAGAGGAGAGGGACACGATGGGAATGTAATATTCAAAGTACCCTGCTTCAAGTTCTGAACTTCCATCTCGAGCAGGGAGATCCGCTGTTCCTGTTCCTTGAAGCGACTATAAATAATTTCGAAGAACTCGGCATGAGAAAAGATATGCCTTTCGTCTAGAGACAAACTCTGTATAACGTGTGAGAGCGCTTCAGTGTTGTAAGAAGGGGAAACGGACAGAAATCTCTGATGACATTGGATCAATATCCATAGTATCACAGGACAGATTGGCAGGCGGGATGATGAACTCAAATCTGTTGATGCCGCTGTTTCAAAGTCTTTCCCCCAAATCCCTGTTTTGTTCCAAAGTTCAAGATACTTCAGGGCAGAATGAGATGATGGAAGCTCATCGGCCGGATCCCATACCCAATCGCCCTGATGTTCCTTCAAACCACGCATCCAATGGTATAGCGTGATACCGCCCTCTATCTGCCCCTCGTGGAGCTTAAATCCTTTATACCCCTTCAAAACCCATCTCTTCCAGTCTAGATGCAACCATATGAACATTTTATCAGAAAGGACTATCTTAGAACACACCAAGCTTAACGGGATCCTTCTCATACTCTTCTTTTCCGTACGAATCCCAAAACTCCTGAACATTCCCTGGATCAGAAAGAAGCCAACCCAGATGATATCTCACGAGCGCCCTGTCGAACGCCTTGCAGAGCCATGTATGCTTCATTCCCACACCCATGGCTCTCCGAGCTGCTCTCAGCATGGCATCGCACAGCCGCGCAACATGAAGTATCCCTCCTTTCAACTCATCCCATTCCTTCTTCTGAAACTTTGCGTCAACAGAGAGAACCAGCTGGAGAGATGTCCATTGAAAGTCGGCAGCGAACATGAGAGGGATACGGTATGGAGTAGGGATGTCCGTCGTTGATCCGTCTCCCAATGTGACGGTAGTCCACCGGCCCTAGTGGGGCGGTCTACCCAGAACGGAGAAGCAATGCGTGACGAGGAATTTGATGACGTCGGCTTTCGACCAATCAACGGTGTCCAGATAGTCGAGTTCAGCAGGGTGTCTCCAACCATATATATTATCCAGTTTCGGCAAGGGGGAGCGCGATAGAGGGGCGATGATATCGTTGTCAGAAGGCCCTTCCTTTTTTACGACAGCAACAGAAAATGATTTATAGTTTCGTACTTTTTTCTGGAGCGTTCGGTGGCCGGGACTTGGTTTTGAGCTGTATGACTCATTGGTAATTCGTACCATATTGTTGTATGCGCTGAGACCGTACATGTGAGACAAAAATTTATGGTGGTTGCGATATCACGCGGCTTACCGTGTGAGACGTGACGGCCTGAGGTCGTTGCTTCGAATGCAGTCGGGCCCACGGCGATCCCAAGTCTGAACAGCACAAAGGCTGGTGGTAGAAGAGAACTGGCGACCTTCCCGAAATGGAAGTGACCGTCTTGATTTCATACCGTGGTGACGACTTGTCTCGGCTCGGAATTGAACGATACCGCCGTTTCAAATATCTGATAGATGGAAGTGATATTCTGATTTTAACCCTGCAGTGAGTAAACGTCAGGCGTGGCGAAATCATTCAGCGTTTAAATTTAGAATTTACAGAACGCATACCACGGACCGCGGTGGCAACTGAGTCTGAGACTCCGGCGAACCTCAGCAACGCAGCACTTGGCTCTATGGAGAACAAACCCCCATTAACTCTTCAGAGCGGAAAATTTCCCAATATCGAGTATTCGAATCGTTGGAGCTTTTCGTAAGGTTTGTGATCTTAAATTTCGACATATACTGGTAGAGACAAGGAAAGGTCTGCACAAGCCGTGAAACAATGTTTCACTTACATCACCCGATTCGACATATTCAACATGCAATTCGAATCTGTCGACATCATCTACTATGCGGTCTGCCATGCTTAACGACATACTGGCTCGGTGCGATCTTTATCCACTTCAAATGCGAGTATGGGATCGGGAGCCACTTCATGAAAAGGGACAAATTGAAACTTACCGAGATATTGGCACGTATAGTATGACCGAATTTGCGAAGCTTTTATTTCGTCCTGCAGGGTCCTAATACTGATGCATCGTTGTTTGATAGATCGGCAGTAGAGAAATTCGAACTTCGTGAGCCTGGATGGGATGGCATTGAGCCCTGCAACATTGAGAAACTTTACAGTATTAAGCTCCCACCTTCGTTGGACATTTACAAGCCAACTTGCTTGACCCTAGGTCATTAGAATATCGGCGAGTTCATGTGCACACAATCGGTCTTATAACTTCTTAGTATCCATTCCAACATTTATCTCATTCAAAAAACCCTGTTTTCTCAAGATCATAATTCACCGTATTGTTTTTATGCTTCAATCCAATGGCATTGTATCTGAAATAGTTCGGATTGGATATTCCCTGAAATAACAGCCTGAGCAATGACAACGTGATTAAAACTTTGTCTGAACGATGAGGTCCTGTCATAAACCAGCTGGATGAAGAATTTCAGGGAAGTGCGGCCTTGAAAACCGTTGGTCTGCAGACCCAAAGCTTTTCTCAGGATGTCAATATTCTCAGAAGGTCATTCCCAGACATGTTCACAGGACATTTCCTCGAATCACAGTCGCAGTACACTTTTACACTTTAATATATAAATATATACAACCTCTGCATTCTCAAAACTGGTAATTATACAGAGTATAGGAGTACCGCTCCCCACCCCAGTTCGAATGACATCATCGCCAGATTTGACCGAAAATTGTGTGCGCTGGCGTGTAGCCTGCCTTGCCTATTCCTGTAAAATCATTCTTTACTGCAGTCGTTCTTCCGGAAAAACATGAATCACATAACCAAGGGATATTATATAGTTGTATCCTTCCAAAGGCTTGAAACGAAATATCGGATCCTATCTTTGTGGGCTTTAATTGTCCCGACCATTACAGTCTGGGGTAGGAGAGTGCCTCTTCCAAAAAGGGTGTAGAAGGCACCCATCGTCCGAACTAGGAGTCACTCTTAGTTCTAGGAGAGCGGGTGTATTAAGTCTACGAGTCTGATCGCCTACTATGCTTAGCGCCAGGTTCAGCTTTCATCACTCCACATTATGTTAATTGTGAAGTCTTCCCTTGGTGTTTAAACGGAAGTATCGCCACCACTGGTATGTGAACGAAGAAAGGCTACTCGTTATTAGGATACGCCGATCAAGATACCCTAAAGAAAGAAAGAAACGAACATCAGTCATATGATAAATCCGTCAGAACTCCTACAAAGTTCCATATTTGCCTTTGCCCCTCATCGACATCGTTGTTAACAATTTTCTGGTCTCGCAATCACCAGGCGCGCTTTCCTGTCTCCAGTTCCTAGACTGCGAATACCCCAAAGGAAGCGTAACGAACACCTCCGGCGATAGCAAAGGCACACTCTTTCTCTCCGGCACCGACTCGTGGTCTCCGTGCCACAACCATGAGGAGCCAGAAGAGGGGGCAGAGGAAGTGCCCGTCGAGGAGTAAGCCGACCATCGGCTCCCCGAAACACGACCATTGATATCAGCTGCTCCCAACAAAGATCACTTGGTGTCATTACTGGGAACCATCTGCCAAGGGAGCGTCAACCATGGCGATTTCACCGTAGGCATCAGCTCGGCCTTGGGATGTACCTCCGGCGTCGGCGGCATGATGCAGAGGCTGAAGGAACACTCGTGCTTCTCCTGTTCTTTCTCCTCGGTCAAGCTATCTCGTTCAACAAATTTCCACCGTACTACTTTCCCTTCTTTGATGCCTAGTACTCGATTTAACCATTTTTTTGAAAGCGTTCCTGCTTTCTACGAAATAGACAAGGAGAATCAGACCGAGAAAACTGAAGAACCCAATGACAAGGACGATTAGCTGGTGGCGCGGAAGAGAATAGTCTTTAGGTGAAGTCTGCGGCGTTGCAGTGTGCGAAGGACCGACAGAAACTGGGGATGAAAGGTCAGAAGTTGCAGAAGGGGTTGTAGGTGTAATAAGGTCGTGTTGCTGCTTCGCCAAAGATACTGAGGTTGGAATGATTACCAGGCCCTGTCCTACTCGGATTGTGTTGGTACTATTAGGCATTCGTACCGTCGAAGATGAGCTGGATAGGATATAAATGCTACTCGCCGCATCTTGCAGTGTCGGAGTCAGACTGGGCGACTCGGTATAGCTTGGCGAGTGCCACAAGTAGCTCCTGGTGGTAGGCGATGCCAGGAATGCAGATATAGCATCCTCCGTCGGATCCTTGCTATGAGATTCCGTCGGTATTGCACTTGTTGGCTCCTCGGTTTGCGCATCCGACCTTGGAGTTGGCGACGGCGCCTGAGTATCGTCCTGAGAGTTTGATGTCATGATCTGCGAAT